GTTTTGCATGAGCACAATCAAGTGTCCTGGTATTCCCATTCTTCTCAATGTTAGCCATAGTTTTTTATAATCCATGCGGTCAAATGCCTTTGCATATTCAATAAGACAGAAAGCAGCATTCTTTGGTATTCTCTCCTTTCAGCCAAGATCCATATGATTTCAACAATGATATCCTTGATGCCACAGCCTCTTCTAAAGCTGGCTTGAACTACAGATAGTTTTCTGTCAATATACTCTTCTAGCTATTTTTAAATGATCTTCAGCCATATATTGCTTGCATGTGATATTACTGATATTATTGGATAATTTCCACGCTTTATTTGATCACTTTTCTTGGAAATGGGAATAAATATGGATTTCTTCCAGTCAGTTGTGCCGGTAACTGCTTTGCAAATGATCTTACACAGACTGGTAAGCATGTCTAGGGATTTACAATCGACACCCTTTCTTACCAGTAATCAAGAAATAAAAAGACTTTTTTTTGCATTGGGAAAGTGTGCTGTCAAGGACCTCTCTAAAGTGTTAATGAGCAATGATGTGAGTTTGAAAACTAAGGTGCACCTGATTCAAGCCCTGGGCTTTTTAATCACTTGCTATGCATCTAAGAGTTGGACAGTGAATAAAAATGACAGAAGAATCATCAATGCCTTTTTCTGTTGTGGTGCTGGAGAAGAATACTGAATATGCCACAAATTACTAAAAGAACAAACAAGTTTATCTTGGAGAAAGTGCAACCAGTTTGCTCCTTAGAGGAACAAATGACTAAACTTTGTCTCATATACCTTGGGCAAGTTGTTAGGAGGGGTCAGTCCTTGGAGAAGGGCATCATGGTAGAACTCACGGTAGAGCAGCCAAACAATCAAAAGATGTGTTGCATTGGGGAATTGCTTTCAGGGACTTCTCCAGAGTTCTGAAGAGCAAATATAGCAGTTTAGAGACCAAGGTGCACTATATCCAAGCCATTTTATTTTCAGTTGCTTCCCATGCATCTGAAAGTTGAACAATTTTTTATTTTCAGTTGCTTCCCATGCATCTGAAAGTTGAACAATAAAGATCAGTGGCAAAAGAACAATCAACACTTTGTAGTTGAGTAAGCATTTAAACCCTTAGTTCAACTCTTCCAGGAGGATTTGTTATTTTAGCTTAAGCTTAGATGGTGACTTGGAAAACTTTCATTTCAGAACACTTGATCGTTCTAATG